ATTTTACTGAAAAAATCAAAATAACGACTCTCAATTGTTTTTTTTATTTCTCATTTTTACCAGCGTTAAAAATGCTACTAGTTTGCTAATTTAAACAACTTTGTATTTTTACTAATAACAAAGTTACCAATGGTGGACACTTAATTTGGATAACCCTGTATATATATATATATATATATATATATATATATATATTTATTGTCTTGTAGATCATAAAATGACATAAGACTCGTCCTAAGGGGGAGGTACATAGTACACATAATTAAAGGTAAAAACTTAGACTATCACCTGCGCTTGTATTATAATATGTGTTTATGTTGTTGTTCTGTACAAATTTTGTTCTGTTTGTATCTATGAACAGGGCGCGCTTATAAATATGAATGCTTGGTGGAGTCATGATGTGTTTACTTCTGAAGATCTCTCTGCAGGATTCTCTTCTACGAATTGAATATCAATCTGATTATTCTCTTCTGTTGAACAAATGCTCTAGAAATTGAAGTTGATTACCCCCAAATTATGATGTTTCTTGATAAATGTGAGTGGACGAGAGCATAATACACATCTAGTAAAGCTGACTCTGATAAGCAAAACTTGAGCTTAAGAATTGCATAATAAGATTGGTTCAAGTTTTTACACACACTTTCCCAGGAATGTCGTAGTGTTTAGATGTCTCATGATTTGCTAGAATAGGGGCGTTTGTATAAAAATGTACAACATCTGACTTGGCACCACCCTTTCATTTCACTTTTTACTTCATTTATTTTTGCAATAATGTCATTGCGTGTAGTTCCACTGACAAGAACTGACGTATCATTCGCATAATTTGTTACAAACCCAGAGAGATGAAAATCATTTATATATAGAATGAATACAAGTTGTGCTAAAACTAAGCCTTGCGCTGCTCCAATGTCGATACTGTACGTTGCGGATGTAATTCCATTTACTTTTATTTTGAATTTCCTGTCAAACAGGAAAGACACTATCCAATCTAATATAAAACCTCTTAAACTTAAATTAAATAATTTTTCCTCGAGCAGTCCAATGTCAATTGTATCGAAAGCTTTCGATAGGTCAAAAAACATGCCCGCGATACATTTATTCATATCGAGCTGTTTATATATCTGACATACAAACTCATAAGTAGCTGTCTCTATTGAATGCAGTTTCCTAAATCTATGCTGCGAGCTTGGTATGTGGTTGAATTTTTCAGTATATCCCAAAATTCTTGAATAAATCGCTTTTTCGATTATTTTAGAAAACATTGACAATAATGATATGGGGCAGTAATTATCAACTTGAGTAGAATCTCCCTTTTTTTGGAACGGGAACTATTACCGCAAGCTTCAGGGATTTAGGAAATTTGCCTTGTAGACCGACATGTTAATCAAAGTAATGAGAGGACTTGCAACTTAATTTAAAACACTTTTAATAACACGAGTAGTTACACCGTCCCTACCACACGATTGTTTGTTTGGAAGGTTGGATATGATTGATTTCACTTCTTTATCGGTGACCTCAGTGTAGAACATTGAATGCGCTACTTGAGTTTTAGCTACTGCTCCTGATAGTGGGGAAATGTTGTTGAAGCTTACTTACTAATGTGCTAGAAAAATGTTTCCCAAAAGCGTCAGGCACACTAACCTGTCCCATATCTCCACCGTTGTCATTTTTAAGTGAAATTACTCCAGAGCTCTTTTTACATCCAAGCTCCAGGTTGACTATTTTCCAGATCTTTTTTGTATTATCATCAGCTGCTTCAATTTCGTTGCAGTTATATTACTTTTTGGCCATTGAGATCAGTTTGCGATGTTGCTTTTTTACTTTCAATATACGTTTGTATCTTGCTCGTTCACTCTTGTAAGTTTGAACAAATTTCGTAGATCGCTGCTCAACTGTTTTAACTCCGGTGTTATCCATAATTTGGGTTTTATTAAAGCTCTGCTCGTAATAACTTTCTGAGGACATGTCCTATCGAAATGCGACAGAAAGGTATTGAAGAATTTTTCGAAAGCATCATCTATATCGGTTTCTTCAATATTCCAAGATTCTTGAGTGAGGCTTAATCGCAGTTCTTCGAGATTACAATCATCAGTTTTCCTCACAGTATAAGATTGGTCGGGAGACTTGTTGTTGGAGGTGATAAGGGAAGATAGCGTTAAGATTTGCGCCGTATGATCTGACATTGATATAACGATGGATTTCTATATCTATTCGTTTTAATAGCTATTGGTTTCGAATGTGTTTTTCAGTGAAAAAGAAAAGTTGTTTCTTATCTGTTGCAGCCGTATGTATGAAAATTTAAAGCATATATAAATAAGGCATTTTGTTTAACAGTTATGGAACTGCGAAAAATTGCGTTCCCGTCTAGACTAAAATCGAAAATTATGGTCGTTTGTCTAAGTAAAGCTGCATGTAGACTGAGATTCCAACGCAAGCCAAGGCATATGTGGTTACATTAGGAGGTGTTCGTATCGGTGTGTACGGCGCGAGCCAACATAAGTCAACTGCTTCCAAGGTCGGCATTGGCATTCGATTGCGTTCGCTCTTTGATCGGTACATCACAAGGAGGTTTGATTTGGTCTGGACAGGATTTGTTGCGCTGCTAGTATTTAGTCGTTGTTTGCATTCGATGAGAGGAGGTTTTTTAATTCCTTGCTGCATGGAAAACATTAACAACAACTCAGCAATTCATATCGCAGCACAGATAGTATCACTTCCTTGCTCTACGTGAGTACACCCATAACCAATAGATACATGAATATCTTTTCCAGAGAAAAGAATGTAGGTACGCCGATGTTTATGTTATGAGTTTGGTAGCCAATGATGGGCCAATTTTCCAAAAGTATGCACTTAAACTCCACAGTTTTGGCGACAAACAATGTAAGCATATGGGCTTGGCTCCTAATCTATTCTAATTCGTTGGTTAAAATACATGATACGACGCACAAACACTGAACATCACAGAATGAGATGTTATAGTCATTCAACTTGAAAGCAAACCAGCGTTTGAAAAACCGAGTTTCGATTGTTACGAAATGGCAGTGTGTCCTGGATTCGCTTCTCTATATAGGGATCTCGGCTCCTGGTATACCTACAACAAAGGTTAAAAGGGGAGAGGTTTAGAGGAGACTTAGTGCTTTCGGTAGCCGGCTTCAGATTTACGTTCGGTCAATTGGTTTTGTAAATATCGGCGAAAAACAGAAATGTGGAATTTTGTTTTTTGTCAATAAGCCCCAAACGGTTAACTTGACAGCTGTCAAAATGTGACATTATTCGACCAGAAAATAAAATTAATAAGCAACGCAATTTTTCATCTAAGGAGGCTCTGACTTTGACGTTAAATAATTCAAAGTATTAAAATTGTGTTTTAATAAGTAGTAAGTACGTTTTCTCTCATTAAAATCATAAATCTGAGAAATAAAGTTGTCAAAACCTGTTGAAAAAGGCTGGTATTCTCTACTCAAATGAGAGAAGCTTGACATGTTAGCGCTGTACTTGCAGTCACACAGAAGCGCCGGCGTTACCTCAGCAAGGTACCTGGAGATGTAGCCCGAACGATGGCAGACTCATAAGACCCAATTTAGAAAAATAGTAGTTAATTTGATGAACCATGGGGCTTTCGAACAACCTAGAAGCGGATACAATATCGAAAATAAAAATGGCGACATGCTGACGACGAAATCTCTAGTGCATCAGTAAGAACTGTAGAACAAGAAATTGGTGTGTCAAAATCAACAGTACAGAGAGTCTTAAATAAGAATAAGTACCATCTATTCAAGCCTACGATAGTTCAAGGACTTAAGGAAACTGATCTTCCAAGGCGAATGCGCTTCTGTGAGTGGTATACTAGGAAGTCTAATGAAACTACCGATTGTGTTAATTATGTCTTGTGGTCCGATGGGAGTAGGTTTACGAATTGTGGAGTTTTTAATAAACACAACACTCAACATTCTGCTGTGTAAAACCCTCACGAAGGGGGCAGAGAGACGTCTACAGACCAGATGTAGAACTAACGTTTGTGCCGGCTTTACGAGCTAGTTTAACCGAAGATGGCTTTAGAAGAACCTGGCATCAACAGGATGGATGTCCGGCTCACAACACCATCCAGGTCAGGAACTTCTTAAGAATAATTTCATTAAATGGTTCAATATCTTGGCCTCCTAGATCTCTTGACCTTTCACCCTTGGATTTCTACCTCTGGGGTCACACAAAGAATGAGGTCTATGAAATTGATCCTCCCGCAACCATAGAAATCCTAAGACAAAGAATTTTGAGCACAGTTAGAAACATTAACAGAAATACACTAGCTAAGGTTGTACGAAGAACAGACACCAATTGTCAAAAATTTCTGGATGCAAATGGACATTATTTTGCAAATCTGTACATTTATACTCACTTACATAATTAGTTTTTTCATTACATTACAATTTAGTAAAATGTTTCTTTGTTAAGTGCAAAATAAATTTACGAAGATTTTTCTGACTTGTTTTTAACACACTCATAGATGGGAATTTGTCCCAAGACATTTGACTTGTCGAGAAATCGATATTAACGTTAATATTCTATTGAAAATTCAAGGCGTTTAAGTGTTTTTTATGCCTTACTCATTAATGATATTTTCTGACAAATAAATCATGACCTCCTTAGAAAAAAACTAATATATAACATTAAGTGTGATGATATTTAGGTGATGAACATCTGAAAATCGAATATGGCGGCTATCAGAAAAATGAAAGTTGAGGCGGGGTTGCTGGAAAATAAAAGACGATTGAGACGATTGACACATGATGTCTTTTTTTCTTGAAAAAACTTACCAATGGTGTTATATTTTGACAGCTATCAAATTGACCGTTTTGGGTTTACTGATGAATTCGATATCGACCGCACTAATATTCCTCTAAAACTTTCCCCATTTAACCCTTGCTATACGTATAACAGCAGCCCTATACAGAGAAGCGAATCTGGGACACACTGTATACTCTTTTTCTACTTGGCCTTACCTCCTTTTAGATGTCTGTCATTAATGTCATCGGCGTCGCTTTCTGTTTCTTCTGGAAAAAGTATAGCACCAGAGTGTACTCCATCCATGTCAATATTCTTCTTCGAATATCCGTTATCGTCACTACTTTTTTGATAAGTACCATCAGCGTTGTTTCCGTGAAGTTTATGCTTAACAGCTTCTGTGGATGCCTCGTGTACTGTCTTCTCATGTACGGGTTTTGAATCAGAACCTAATAAAAAATCAAATAGATTGAGTCTGTACTCCCTCCCCCTCCTTCATTACGGCTACTGGAATAATTTCCATATAGGGAAATTTCATCCATACACGCTACACAATAAATCTGGTAAGCGAAACAAATGACTGTCTGATAATTTCAATTCTTTTTTTGAATTAACTAAGGCTTTCCAACATCAATGTTTAACATTTTACACATTTTTAGAGTCAGAATCGAAAACTCTATATAAAAATCCAATATGGTGTCTATAAAAGAATAGAGATGACACTGGAGGACATGAAATGAAACTTCATATTGAAATTCTAATTATCCCATCTTATAGAGAAGAAAAAATGACAATGTTAATGTGCAATTTATTTTGAAACCCGACTACAAATTTAGGAAAAAATTAAAACGATTTTGGGAAAACTATTTTTTTTCCGTCTCGCTCAGGAAGTACTTTGGGTTTCAAAACTTTATAAGTGACATTTTGTTAGATACGCAGGTTTGCCCTCAATTAAGCGACTTGGTATCTGTTACAGTTTCCGAGATCCCAATGCTGAGGATCAAATTTGAAATACCCTGTATATGTCTCTGTATGGCCGCCAGGAGTTTTTATATTTGCGCATAAAGAATGAGCGCCTCTACATCCTAGCGCTTGTGATTTATAAAGCTTCTTAGTACAATTTATAAAATATCGAACAGAAAGAATCTCTAAAATGTCTAAAAATGAAGTGTGAGCAAATTGATTTTATTCTCTTTTGCTGTCACTGCACCAGTTTCTAAAATCTGCGGAGCTTTTTCGACCTTGTCTTGAAATCTCATCAGAATCTGAGCAGTACTTTCCAAGCAATAGGGAAATAGGGATACACATACAGAGGGAAGGAAAAAATGACATGATTATTTGTGATACAAGAAAATTGGTGTGGGACGTAACAATGACTCTAGCATTAACAGAAATTCAAAACTTTTGAAACTACACTACCATAACTAGAGGGTTTGGGAGATAAAAGCAAAGGTTTGGAACATTTTTGAATTATCTGCTTTTCGCTCATAACGACGCTACTACTACCCCACATTTCAAACTTATTGTTCAGGAGCCTCAACTCTAGAAAATACTGTATCTAAGCCCGCTTTTACTTTACAATACTAAAGATTAATATTTTCTTTATTTTAGATATGTTACTCGGAATTTTGTTGTGGCAGATTTGTCTGTTACTTCCATGAATTATTATGAAGTCCGTTTGTTGTCATTTTTTTTAAAGAAGTAATATACCTTACAGTAGTGTCATGAATTAATAAACTTCACTTAAATAGAAGATAAGGTTTTGACATAAAAGGTGAAAAGCCAAAACCTTGCACGGACTTTCTCTTTTTTGAAGATAATCTCTCTAGATATTGAGAAAACCTTCCATTCGTGGAATAAATTTTCAGACCTGATTTCCGTTCTTTTTTTCATAAACCCGTTTGTCCAATGCTCCTTAACAGGAATTAACAGCTGGGCAGTAACCCAGTGCAAATTCTTTAAATGCCATTTCATCCTGTTAAACCATGCAGCATAAGATTATTTAGAATTTTATTACATTGTAGTTTCATACAGGTAGATATTCCCAAGATAGCGTTTGACGAAGATAAGGAACTTAATCGTGCATATGATGACGCGTTTACTCAAGCACATCTATTTCAAAGTAGTTTTTTTGCTTATTCGACTAAAGTTGTTCGACGAATGTTGAACTTGCAAACGTTGTGTCACCCCTTCCGTTGACGGCTTTAGGCTTGCTCAGTTTGCAAGCAGAAACAAAAACTGTAGAGACTGATGTGCAGTCCAGCTTCTTGAATAGGTCAAAATGATATTTAGGCCTGATTTTACTATTGATCAAAATTCTCGATCCGGATCAAAATGGCCCAATGAGAAGGCGAAATCTGGTAGTTTCGTAATGGACTAAATGAATACATTCAATTTCTTCTGTCATCTGTCAAACTAGCAAAAAAATATACTTGTGGAAGAAGGGTCTCTAATCCCCATATTAAATCCAGAAATTCTTTATAAATGACCTGTTTTAGCTACAAAAGAATATTTTTGCACTTGATCTGGAGATCAAAACCTATGATCCGGGTCAGCAATGACCAATTAGGAAACGTTTTCATAAACCTGCATCCAATATTGGCCAATCGGAAATAAGTACCACAAAACCCACCTTGTAGATGATAGGGCCAAATCAAAAAAATTAAAGGATATATCGGTTGTTAATTAGATGTAGATTGCAACAAACTTTTTTGTTATCTTCCATTATCACATGTTTTTGCTGCTGTACCAAATTCACATGTCGTACTTCAAGGTAAATAGAGATGCTACAATTATTTTAAACACCGTAAGCTGGTTTAGACAAATATATGTATATACGGTTGCCTTTGCTTTATGAAATTTTAGAAAAAATGGTAGAAACCAAATGAGAAATTATAGCACAAAAAGAAAGGTCTGTAAAATGAATCATTTGTTTTTTTTTGTGACGGGAAAAAAGTTTTACCTTTTTATCTCTGTTGACAGGTTACAAAATGTCACTTTTTATGAAATTACTTCTTTTCACGGGAAAAAATGGGTACTTTTTTCCCGGATATTGAATAAACGATTTGGCTGGCAATAATTTTTGTGAAGCTACTTTGGCTACTTCTACTAATTCCGGTGGAGTCAAAGAAAACTCGGAATCAGACATTTTTTACTTGATAGTATTAAAAACAAATTCTGAACAACCACTAAGTTCATAATTTTCAAATCAAATCACAAAACTAAATTGACAGCTACTTGATTACTTTAAAAGTTTCCTTAGCAACGCAGGTCTAATTGTCGCTATAAGTACAACATACCCTACTAATTTCAAACACATCGATAATTGTCTGACTTAGATATTGTAATAATATAATTCTTCAATATTAAATCGTCGTTTTTGTCGTCACAGAAAAAAATTATGTATTACAACACGGGAAAAATTAAAGATTTGAGCTTGATACAACCTCAAGCTAAAATATAGTACTTTTTTCCCTTGTATAATAAATAACTATTCTTGTGCCTCTTTATCAGCTAGAGACGAGGTGTGTATTCCAATAACAGATAATAACTATATCCGAATACGCATTTCAAGCTTGTACTATTTTGTGATAAAACAATTATAGTAAATTATAACGATATTTATATTCCACTTGTCAAAATAAATTAGTATCTGAAAATGCTGCCCACTAGTCATCATAATTATCAATAAATTTGAAGCTATGATAAACACAAACGATCAGCTGAAGCTAATTATCATTTAAACTTCTCTTGTGACATTCAGTTTTTTCAAATATTCGAGTAATCAGTCTTCAACGTGTGGATTCGATAAAAATATTTATCATTGTTATATGACACGATAAACCAATACATTTGTGAGGAATTCAGGTACGAGGGTTGTCTCAAAAATAGGGTTCCCAACGCTGTATCTTTGTCGCGCGTGATGCTAGGCGAAATCTGGCAACAGCGTCATATTTGTTGGCTCCCCCACCACCGATCCCAATAAGAAGTGCCTAGTTGCGATGCTCAGTGTCGGCCCGACAGTCATGTGCAATGGAAACCTTCATCGCCGCCATAGGCAGGTGCGAAATTCGCACAGCCATCCGATTTTTGCACGCAAAACCGTTATACCACTCATAGAAGTTCATCGCCACTGAGTGATGTATAAATATGTGGAAAACTGTATAAGCATTCAATCTTGCTCGAAGATCGACGAATCACGATCCGGGAGAAGGCGGTGGAAATCCCTGAGGGTTCTGAAAAGGCTGAGACGGGCAATCCAAAATTGTCGTAGGGGAAAACTTATCAAAGCGTAAGACTGCACCACAACAATGCGCATTCTCATGTCTCACCACAAACGAAGGACATAATCGAGCGATTTGGCTTGGAAGTCATTGCCCATCGCTCCTTGGAGCCCTGACATAGCGTTTCCGAAATTGACGAGTCACCTAGGCGGTCAACGGCAAGGAGTGCAAGAGCGGATTTCATGTCTAAAAAAAAATGCGTAGAAAAAATGACGACTATGGAGAGAATAGCTTAAAGATCGACATTTCCAATGGTGAATTCGTTTTTTCAAATAAAAAGGAGTCCTTGTGCCTGAAAAACATGTGGGAACCTCATTTTTTAAACAACCGTCGTAGTATGGATATATAACACACAGTGCTGTACCAGTGCACATCTCTATCCCACTATGACAGAATATAACCCGACGACCCCATAACCTTACCTTTGAATGACAGTGTTTATGAAGTGTCCCTGTAATTGGTTTGTTTTTCGAATCTGATTTATACAACATCCACGACTGAAAAGCAACTCAGTATCACAATCAAAATAAGTAACTCTCTTTGTAAGCGAATTTACTAAATAAGGCGCCTAGTATTCCCTGCATGTAATCAGGTGCGAAATGTCATTAATTCTTACATCGTGAGATCGAACTATCGAACTTGATCTATATACAGCAACCATAGATTTCTTTCATGCTTCGGTGTGAACTTGATAAATTTGTACGGCTGCTAAGTTAATAACCGCAAATATGAATAATATGTATTAACACATAAATGTTCATTTTGACACATGGTAGTTATCTTTCATTTCAATAAAAAAATTCAATTTTGAGTGTAATACATTCAACCTAACTTTTATTTTGTGGATCTACCGCGATTTTACACTGTTAGCACGAAATATTCATTAAATATTTATTCAATATCTTTTAAATAATAATTAAATTCATTAAATATTCACTTTACAATCAATGGAAATTATTAAATCTGGATCATGTAGAAAATATTCATTAAATATTTTCAGCTAAGGCGCATGTGCGTGTGACGCCCAGCGACCAATCGCATAATGGCAAGCTGTCCTGAGCCGACCCGTTTGCGGGCATCCATTTTGCCTGTGAGTTTCACAATGACGCATGCTTCCTGTGTACTCCAAGTGGTACATTATTTGAGTGTTTTTTTTTGTGGAAAAGCGAAAATAGTAAGTTTTTAGATAATTACATAGCTTAATTTGTATAACTAATAATAATATATTTATTTCCACTAGGTATACACCCAATCACAGGAAATCAAAACAAAATGGTACCATATATACACATGTATACACACATATATATACACACATACATACATACACATATATACACACATATATACACATATATATATATATATATACAATGAATCATTAAATAATAACAAAAAAAAAGAAAATAGAAAAACATTAGTGATCTGAATGAACACATAATACATAGGTGTTTGAATAATTAAACACTTCCACAAAAAAAAGAGAAGAAAAAAATAACTAGTAAACATTATTGTGTGAGTTAAGTATAAAGCTATTTACAAGACCATAAATAACTAGCCTTGAGGTGTAACCGTTATTTGCGATTTGGGATCGGAATATTATCTGAAAATGGATACGAAAATTATATTCATAACATCGCAACGAAAAGTCATATAATCGCAACTTGATCGAGATGCAACAAGAATGCCTTTTTTAAATATCTCAATTATTATTATTAATATTATCGTAGTAGGGGGCGAATCAGCTGTAACTATTTTAAAATGTTCAAGTTCGACAGCGACGTTCCAAAATTTAACAGTAATACTATATTTTTGTCCCTTGAATTTTAATATAGAATCTCAAAATGGTTATGGATAAATTAGCCCTCCGAAAAAGTCACATATCAACAAAATCAGTAAGTGGTCTATTTTGAAAAACTTATTCTTAGGAAGTTAGTCAAAGGATCAAGGTGTGGCCATGGATATTTTTCATTAAGATTTCTAAAATAACAAACCAAATTTTCTTAAAAATTAATCAAATCTCGAACTCTTATAGGAAGAAAATGTGGGGTCCTTTTAGGTGTACCATAGAGCTGCTCTTCAGTGACCCAGTTGAGCTACTCGGAGTAACTCAGCAGTGCTCAGCATCAATACTGTTCCACTACATTTTTTATTCCCATAAATACCCTTTCAAGAATAATATCGGAGAATATCTCGTACAAACGGGAGACCACTGGAAAGCAGCTTATATATTCAATAATACTTCATAATTTGTATATTTTTTTTTTTCAGAGGAGTCGATTTGCAATATCCAGAAGAAGCTTAGAATATTTTTTAAATGATATTTTTATAGCAAATTAAACCATTATATCTAGAATGAATTTTCTTTATAAACCCAATTTTATAAAACTATTCCTACAGATTTTGCTAAGCTGTATACAGACAGCCAAATTACAAGATGCGAAGATGCCTAAAAAAGAATCACAATATATTATCAAAACAAGCAGCACATATGCTCCGGCACTGGAATGTAAATTAAAAGAAAAGATAGTATTCAAAACTACCTAAGAATAAAATTATTAGACCGTAATAACTAACCCTCCAAAACGTTTACCATGGTACACGTACGAAGGCTATACAAATATAGCACTTACAAATAGTTTAACGCCTAAACCTAAACTTATCTGGACAACGTCTTGTCTGGATAATGGTCTTCTTCCAGTTACAACTCTAGATACAGCTGAGATGCCCACAGCTTATAAACGCTCAGGTCAAAAACCAGTGGCCAGCAGTGAGTAGAGACGTAAGGAACGTCACAAGATAGAGGCTGCTTGCCTCGTTCTCAAAATTTACGGTATAAAAAAACCCTGTTCACATCAGAGTTCTTTTTGTCAAAGGGTAGGTATGGCTTCCAACAAAATCGGCTGCGAAACAGCTACAAGGCAGCTACAAAACAAAGCTGGAGGGGTGTGAATGGTGGTTCTCCCCAATGGCTTTCCACGCTGGAGGTTAAAATCCCATTCGAAGATGGACGGGCTAGACCCAAACCAAAACAACTAAACGTAAGGTACAAAATAAAAGGGTGCTACTCCATAAACTGGTGATTGGGGCGTTAATATCCCAAAATCTGTAAGTTAACGAAAAAAACGCCCGCACACAACCAAAATCACAGCGGAAAAGCGAAATACAAAAATGGCGCTGGACGCGTCGGTATGCAATCAAAAGAAGGTATCTTGATAGTAAATCAAATTTTAACAGAAGGTATCTTGATAGGAAAGTAAACATTAAAAGAAGGTTAAATTAATGGCCTTGAAGAAGGTATGTTGATAGAACGGAATATCCATATACGGCTAGTACGTATAAAGTCACAAGGTGGCGCACTGGTTGCCAACTCTACGAGGGTCCAACGATATTTTATGAGGAAATTTCTAAGTTAGTCGTTAATTATATTATAACATTAGTGTCCAAAATATTTCAATTCAATACTATATCGCTGAGAATGACAGATATAATACGTGAGAAATTATACAATCAGTAAGCTATGAAATTTACCAAAATAAAATCATTAAAAAGGGTCTAAGATTAGGCGCTCTTAATCAATAAAGAGAAATTCAAATTACCCATAAGTGATCAAAATAGTAAAAAAAAGGTTACGTGAGTTTGGCACGTGACACAGTACTAGAAAGATGCCTTCTAATTAGTCCATTTTCATCCGGATCGACAATTTTCATCTCATGTTGGTAAAACCGGACCTTATAAGTGTACTTTGTAAGACTTAACCTTAAATAACTTAGGATGGCGACACGCATTGCAAGCTTCAGAACGTAAAGAATTAAAATCTTTGCTTCATCAGCTTGTATTCAAAAGTTTGCCACTTCGCCATCCATTTCCCTAAAAAAAAGGGAAACGACAAAACCATGTTTCTGCATTTAAGGATACCTTGGGATTTATCAAAATAAGACAGCACAAAATATCATCTGTTACTAGAATTGACCACTGCGAAAGTGAAAGCAGCACGCAGTCTGTTGAAACTGCATCCCAATTCGCATTGTCAACCGGGTCACCATGCTTTGCATTTTTCAATGTTGTTGTTAGGTATACAATTCTATTAACAAACCATAGGTTGGGATTGAGTGCTCAATGAAACAAGGAGTGGAATAAAATAAATCAAAATTACCTCACAACTGTCCAGGTAACATTCCAATGTTGAGGTACATGTTGGTGTCAACGAATTCGGACTAGGTGGAAGGAGCTAGGAAACGATTTGGTTGTAAACCAAAACTGCGTAGTAATAGTAGTAGTAATTTTTCAGTTGTTGTCACTGTAACGTGCCAAAATCACGTTACCTTTTTCTTTTACCATTTTGATCCCTTACCGGTAATCTGAGTTTCTCTTTATTAATGAAAGAATCTGGATTCGTAGACCAAACCCTATTCAATGATTTTCTTTTGACAAATTTCATAATTTATTGATTTATTGAGCTCAAAGCGAACTAATGCGGAAAGTCGGTTTTTTTAAGGTCCGCACACTGGCAACCTGCGTTCTCCTACTTTTAACATTGATTGACAATGAACTGACAGTTAGTCACTTTCCTGTTGAGGTCATGGTTCATTTCATTTCTAGATTTTGGGATATTTGGTCCCAATCACCAGTTTATGGAGTAGCACCCTTTCTTGTACCTACCTTACGTTTAGTTGTTTCGGTTTGCGTGCTACCTCCTCCATTTTTTATTGGATTTTAACCTCTTCAGCGGTAAGTTCTTTCTTTACACCATGTGACCACATGCATTAATGCACGTCCCGAAGCAGTTTGTTCAATATCTGTTTCCTTTTAGTGGGAAGGCATTAAGGCATACCACCACCCCGTACATGGTGATATTCCTCACATCACTGCCCACTACTGGCCACTGGTTTTTGACCTGAGCGTTTGTGAGCTGAAGTTTAGGTTTAGGCACCAAAATATTTGTAAATCCTTCGTACGTATACCATGGTTTACCGGGTTAATTATCACTGTTTAATAATTTTATTTTGGGTCAGTTTTAAATAATATCCTTATCTGGATCGTCGTGAGGTAATTTTGATTTATTTCATTTCAAAATTGTATAGCTACTAGTAACACATCATTGAGAAATGCAAAATATTGCAGACTAATCAAGTTTTCTGATGGATACTGAAAAGGGGCAAGCGAAACTTTAACATAACTAGACTAAAATTCAACTTTCTCAGCTTCAATTATGTATCTGAAGAAAGGTATTCTCGCGTTAAAAGTAGTAATTCTTCGATCTCATTTTAGTACCACGAGATTCTATGGAGGAAGCTCTGCACGCTCAAAAAACTATGAAAATACTTCCAATTCTGCTTGTCGTATAAATATATCTAGTGACAATGATATAATACCAGAAATTTCAATATTGTGCTTATCTAGGTAAATGCTTCTAGCCAAGAATTCTGCTCGGATCACGACAACTAATTGGAAAAACCGAGTATGTTCCGATAGACCGGCCTCATACTCTGGATAGGAAATAGTTGCTCAGCTTTCGTTCGTTGTCCTGCCGACACCAAGCCTAGACCATGCTGAGAAGTTGCCAAATAGCACCGAACAGCTGTACATGGTTGGCTGTCCGTGGTCGGATGGACGGAAGCTAAATTACTACCTTGAGAATCCCCATGTGAGCGTAGTAAATAATATGTGAAACGGTATATAATCATAGGAAAATTCCAACATCTATCGTAGGCAAAGAACAGGAAATCAAGGAATTTTGAAAGTTTTTAGATCCAACTTGTTTTCAATGCTTGATACTTAAATGTAATGTGCCTATCTAAAATGTTCAGTGTTTGTTAAATTTAAAATCACTTTGTGGAATAAAATGGTGTTTTCTACTTGTACGCATACGAAATTTAGCATCAGTTTAGTAGGTATGTGATGTGCGGGAAGTAGAGAGTTAGTCTAGTTTATTGGGATGCGAAATACCTTTTTGATCATGTGAACCATGTTTATTCTTCTCTGTAGATGATCCTGGTAGCTTCTCAGTAGCAGTCCCATGAATATATTGCTCATACTTTACGTCTTCAGTTGTGGAAGTGTGCTTATTGTTGGACGTCTTAGTGCTGATTTCATGCTGATTTTGACCATAGTTTCCGTTTTTCTCGTTGTCTTCATGTTTACCACTGTTCTCATTATTCTCATAGTTTTCATTCTTCTCGCCATTATAATCGGTAACCTGTTTATGTGGGCATGGATCATTGATAAGGTGCCCATGAGAGAGTATTGATTCCCCAACTTGATGAAGGTCACATCGCACTTTTTTTAGCTTATCAAAAACTACACCACAACGCACTGCACAAATCAAACAGGTTATAAAGGCAGCAAAAGCCGAGGATTTCATCTTAATTGTGTGATGTTTGTTATATAACCTCGATCGTCTTCAAGTGTATGGTTGAATATCATCCGGGGATAATCACTCATAAGCCAACGAACAGATGGAAACTAGATATTAAACGATATTGAGAACGTATCATTCTAAGTTCCTTCAAGAATCACCGGTACTGTTTCTACGTAAAGTATACTGTAGTTCTGTCACGACTGTGACTTGGGTGTAAGCTGCTCGGGGCTGGACAGACTGGCTTGTGTGCTGCAAAGGCTGTTAATAATAAAAAATAGAGATACAGACAAAAAACTCTAATACGTTGGCGAGAGGGACTTCCGAGGGTAAATTGCTCCCCATTGTGGGAACCCTTATCATGTTAGGTCAACTAGGCTTTATGCTCTATACTGTCCCCACTTCAGCTGAGAAGAATAAACTATTGCTGATTATCCATACTTATCAGCGGTGGTCTATCTCAGTTTCATTACTCCATTTGCTTTTGCAATACAAACAAGTTGAGGCATATGAAAGAGATGATCTTATAAATTAAAATTATAGAATAATATTGGTAAGTACCCTACTGGGTGATGTGTAGCTATAGCTCATAATCAAAGTTAGCACCATCATGCTACCTGAAACTTCATTGTTTGGAGCAGTGGTGCGGCCGACAGAGGTATTACATAAACAACCTATATAATGTCAAAAAATCGGTAAAATGTGAACTTGAGCACTAGTTAGCCGTTAGTGTGTAGCTAGCTACTACAAGTAAACATGAAGTAAATATCATCTAGTTCAGTTTCATTGTATATGAAAACCTACATAATGTCATAAAATTCGATATGTCACTTTTTAGCTTACGTAATAAAGGTATGAGATAGCAGGGTGTTGAGGTTAGGAAATTTAGACTACCAATACTCTTTTGATACTAGATTGAACTGTATAATGTCACACATGAAGCTAATTAGCTAAGTGAGAGCTATTGGTTTTACGAATAACTTTTTTTGTTGAAAAGCCCATCTGCAAAAGATGCATTTTCTAACTTTGTGAAGAGTTAGTCGCAAGGCCTTAAAGTTGGCATCTAGCTGATTAGCTTTCGTGGCCTTACGCAAGAGATTTCACGATTTAATTTAGTACCAAAAGAGAATTGGCAGTTTGAAACTCAGAATTGTTTAGCTTCAATACCCTGCGACCTCTACGCGTTTTTTTTCGTCACTCCACACTCTAGCAGGTAAAAGTTCTTTGGTAATTAAGCAACAAATTATTATAAATTCTGGTATTTATCCTGGGTCATGGTTTTTTATATATAGAAGTCAAATGAGAGATAATTCCGACCAGTGTTTACGAGCATCATGTAGAATGAGGTGTACTCAAATCTCAATTAGGTTATGTTTGGTATACACTGCCTTTCAAAACCCAACCTTATTTTTTTAACGGATCAAGTTAGCAAACTGAAATTGGGGTGATTAAACTGATGCGTGGATAGTATACTTTAACATAAAATTGACAGTTAAAGATTTCAAGATGGCCGCTGCGCGCCATATTACAACATTTTTTTGAATCTAGGTAACTCATTTGAAGCTACTTATGAGCACTTTGTAAAAAATCCGGTATGAAGGACCCGCTCGGGTGAATCTTGAAAAGTGACAAGTCTATTTTCTTTGACACTGTATTGATGTTAACATAGCACTACCTGATAGACACGTTGTGCACTCGTTTTGTAGTTGTACGTATTGCCTAAACGTCATGAGGCTTCAGTTATCAATGTTTGCATTATTGGAGGTTTAAGCTGTTAAGCTCTATACTATAGCTGGAAGGAAATGGGCAAAACAAGAGTGCGTATTCGCTTAATGAGAATTTGAGTGCTAACAATCTGTGGTGATTATGATTCCATTGGTTCCTTTTCTCAAATATACTTACTTCAGATGTATGCAATTCTAAAAATTAGTTACGCATCCGCTTTTTCTTATTCAACCTGAAAGTTCCATATGCAAACTTGCTGATTTCAAAAAAGAGAAGAAAAGAAAGTCCCTGGTTGGTGAAGTACATTAAAACTGACCAGTGAGAAAATATGATACATACAGGAATATTTATGAATCTTAAAAAAGTTATTACATTTTACAATAATTTGTATTTCCACTCATTTAAATTTTATAGAAATTTATTTTAAGATGTCAAGTAGAAATTAAAAATATGAGCCAGTGCGAAAATGTTTTGTATGTGATGCGTCATTCCTAATTTTTCTGTGATGTGGCGCGAGTCCGGTGCTGATTTCCCGTAATGCTTCTCAAAGTTTTTGAAAACGCAAGAAAACGGGAAAAATCGTAATGTGTAACTTTGAACATAATCTCTCTTCAAAGACGACAACACAAATAATCCGTCTGGCATAGACAATAGATATATTTCATGGGTAGCCTATTCAGTAATAATTTTCTCGCACACCAATGCACACAATCGTCCAGATGTGATCTTGCTACTCTGCGACTCAACCATACATCTTCTCAGAGTATATTCGACAGACTCTCGGCATTCTGCAGCCAACAAAGCATGACTTGCAGCTAGCCGCATGGTCATTGAACGTGTCGTATCGTTGAGCGATTCCTCCATAGATGGACACTTTTGATGGCTCTCACAGCGAGCAAACGCGGAATGTACTATTTGCACACTAGGAGCTATCTAGACAGAAAGTTGACATCTTGTCGTTTTTCCTTTTGAAGTTTTATAGGTTTTTTTGCGTAATCACTATTCAATTTTAAGGTACTAGGAGCCGTTTAAATAGGAACTACAATTATGTTAAGTGACTAGGTGGAAGGCATAATACCACGTGACTAACCAATTCATAATAGGAGGATGATATTTCTGTTTGTTAGTAGACTATAGTAGTAGTCACCGTTCTTGGCGGGTCAAAGTAGAACTACCAGTATCTCTTTATATACCTCAATGTCCCTCATATATACACATGCAACCTACCCCTGTATGTGAACGTTTGGTCGGTAAGCTCAAAATGCGTGTCTCCGTCTTGAAAACCCGTGCCCTTTAATCATATTTGCCAGAGAGACCACTTACTTGAAATCGGCGTGCAATTTGTCCTGTTATCAATCTTGAATATGAAATTGTACAACGCCCGGAAATACGATCAATGGAGAAGGCTTGTGCTAAATGTATTAAGAGTATTTCCGGGAAGATAATGAAAATAGCGGTCCTCTGTTACCCACTTCATGAATACTGGAGAGAGTAGCATATGAAGATCCGCCCATGGTACGGATACTTGATCTGTTTACTTATTTCATATGGCGTTGATACTCTTAACGTTACCGCCAATAACGGCAACTACATCTATACCACTATAGATATTCATAAATGACCGTGTTTGCATAAAGTTATTATTGAATTATTCTGTTAATAACTTAAATATTATTATAATTGTATTTCAACATCCATAGCCGATCGCCTCCAATGGAGAGCTCTAGATGACATGTATCATAGTGATCATTTTCCTTGTATCACGTCCTTTGACATATCTAGAAGTAGTCCTCAAGTACCACAATACTGGTTGATGTCAAAGGCAAATTGGCAGCAATTCGAAGACTACTTATCAATTGTGAGTCCTGTACAAGATAATAACATTGGTATTCATAGTTTTACTCAGCTGATACATCAGGCTGCGGTGATCAGCATTCCGCTTGGTGGTGGATCTCCAAGAGGCCGTCGGTGACCATGGTGGAACTCTGACATATCCGATGCCGTGAGATCAAAAAAGCGTGCACTCAATATTTTTAGGAGGAACTGCACGGTATCAATCATGATATCTTTTAAGAAAGCGAGAGCTAAAGCGCGACGTCTTATTCTAGAAAGCCAGAGAAAATCATGGAAAGAATATGTCTCCACTATTACTACTGAAACGACAACAAGTGAAGTATGGAATAAAGTCAGAGCCGTGTATGGTAGACAATCAGTTAGGCAAATCACACATCTGCGGACCTGTAACAGCAACATCATTAATAGCACAAATGAGGTCTGTAATTTACTAGCAGATAAATTTGCTACCGTCAGCAGCTCGGTAAAACTATAGTCGCGAGTTCAGGTCCACCAAAAATGCAAGGGAAATACCACTAGACTTTTCAAGAGACGTATCTTTAGTGTATAATGAGCCATTCCAACTATTTGAGCTAGAAGAAGCCTTAAAAAAGACAAATCGATCAGCTCCTGGTCCGGATATGGTAAATTATGAGATGATCCGTCATCTCTCTCTCCATCTCAAGCTTACTCTCCTCAACATATACAACAGGATATGGCTTGCAGGAATATACCCAAAAGGCTGGAAACTTGCAATCGTCGTTCCCATTCTTAAACACGGAAAGGATCCACTCCTGCCTGAAAGTTATAGGCCCATAAGTCTTACTTGCTGTCTTGGAAAAATATTAGAGAGAATGGTAAATGAGCGCCTGTCGTGGTTTCTTGAAGAAAATGGCTTACTTGTTGATTACCAGGCAGGATTTAGAAAAAATATGTCTACAGTGGATCAACTTGTCTATGTAGAGAATGTCATCCAAAATGGGTTTAAAAACCGTCACCACACAGTAGCTGTGTGTTTTGACATAGAAAAAGCTGTTGATATGGTCTGGAGATATGATGTTCTATACCAACTGCACAACTGGGGCTTTAGAGGAAATCTCACAAAATTTTTGAAATCCTTCCTTACAGACAGGCGTTTTCAAGTACGTGTAGGAAACACTCTTTCAACAGTCCACACCTTGGAAAATGGAATACCACAGGGATCGGCACTTAGCTGTCCGCTTTTTGCGATTGCTATTAATAAACTTGCCGAGTCCTTAAATCCGGTGGTGGACAGAGTCTATACGTTGATGATTTGTGTATACTATCATCAGGCCCTTCCATTGAAGAAATTTCTGATGACTTGCAGACAGCAATAAACCAAATAAGCCAAAATGCGATAAACGGTGGTTTCACATTGTCAAATACCAAAACAAAGTGCGTACATTTCTGCAGACTCCAACGTCAGCATGATGGGCCACTACTTTATCTACAAGGCCAATTAATCCCCAACGAAACATCTATGAGATTTTTGGGATTGATATTTGACTCAAAGTTAACGTGGAAATGTCATATTGCAGAATTAATCTATAAGTGTAAGTCAACGTTGAATGTTATTAAGTGTCTGAGTTCTACCCAGTGGGGAGTTGATACAGAGGTTCTGATAAAAATATACAAGTCCTTGGTTCTATCAAAAATCGACTACGGATGCATTGTGTACTCATCCGCTCGACGGACTGCACTCAAAAA